ATCAACAATAGACTTTTTGGTCTCACGTGTGGAAAGAATACTTCTTCCAACCAAATTTTGAAGTGCTCTGGAATGTTTGGAATACAATGAACATTGCAATCAGTGTAAATAACTTGTCTTATCTTGTTATACATTAAAAATATCATCTTACTAGAAGTCAGATTTCCCGATTTTGAAGCCGGTACATAAACATTTGAAGGTCTGAATAGATTCTTCTCGACCCTTGGGCCCCACGTTCCGGAGGGTTCCTTGTAAACAATGAAAAGAGGTGACAATAGATTTTCCATCAGCAGATATCGTGGGTTGTACCGTATATCTGTGTGTCGTTGATGTTATAGATTGGACAATGCACGAGACTTCTTTAGACCCCTTGTCCGCCAAAGTTCGTCCCGAATGCCTTTTGCAATTGAAAACCACGTTGATCAGAATTATAGATGATTTGCGAGCCATAAATTTCACAATATGGTTTAATTTTTTACACGAATTTATCCGCTGTTTTTTGTAAATGTTCTTGATTTTCCATTGTTTTACGCGTCACAAATTTAGTAATATTGCGAGATGTAATACGATGAGCTGTTTTGAAGTAATGCAGCCACCACGGGGAGGCCTTGAAACGAATATCCTCATTTCCAATATCTTTCTGGGCTTGCAGAGCCCATCTTCGTAGGTCTGCATCATGAACGATTAACCCCGCATCAATAGCATTCTTCATATTTTTTAATGTATACTCCGATATACGCTTCAACTTCTCCATATAAGTTCCTCCTTTATTGACTTGATGCGCCCAGCGACGTAATTGTTGGACGGATTCCACTTCTTTGAATCTATTGGAAACGGTTTTTGTATAGACAGATTTTTCTTGGTTTTCGTACTCCTCCAGAATTCAACTGCTTTTTTTTATATTCATAGCCTGTAGGTTCGTCATCATGCGAACAACTATCAGGTGATTCTTTAAGACGCGGTTGGAATTCTGTATCCTCAATTGGTATCATTTCGATATCTTTATACGGCTCTTGGAAATCGAGAGTGAATTCTTCAATCATTTCCACACCATTATATTCCTCCATAGTTTCTTTCAATATGTTCTCGAAATTAGTTGCCAACTCTCTTTCTTCATTAGTTACAGGAGTTTCCACAAGATTCATCACTTCAAATGTTGCCATGAGGAGCTTAATAACGTTTATAGGATTGAATCTCATGGTGAAAACAATTGGAGATATACAATTAGAAAGAGAATGTTTTCCCGTGATATGTTTATGTAGACTGAACACTGTGCGAAACGCATGAGAACAAAATTGCAGAAATATTCGGGGTTATCAATAATGCATGATTACTGACCTAATACGCTATTTTTGGGTATAGGTGACGTTCGTATGAATATTGTTACTTTGTTTGGATTTATTATCGCTTTCAGCAGTGTGTTAACACCACATATAGTATAATAGTGAATCACCTCATGAAACCATTACCCAGGTTTCCCAGACACAAAAATTATAAGATAAATAATACTATATGGAAAAATTCCGATTATTCGGCAAGTTTTTTTTGTATTTGTGGCTGCTTTTCCTTGGAATAACCACAATATTGCTGCACCTGAAGTAGAAGAAAATTCTATCTCAGTGGATCATTGTTTCTTTAATCTGTTATTGTTGTCACGATAATGCCGGATTCTGAAGGAATATAATCTTCACCTACGGACTATTAGAATCAAAATTGAAAATTCAAATATTTGGAATCAGTGACTTATAAAAGAAATCAATGTTCTTACTTCATAACTTCAATGTCGGGATAAATGCGAAAAAAGGTATACAGTATTATTTCATGATCTTCCCGATGCAAACATTTCCATAAAATCCTGAGCCATATATTTTTTTAATAAAAAAAAATTATTTCAAAGGGGTAGTTCACCCCCCAAATTTCAACCCCCAGAGGAACCATTAATCATAATTTTCATATTCACTCACAAGCTATTTATTACCTCGATGGAATAAATAAATAACTCCCCCGCTGTTATGGGTGATATTCCCAAGAAATCATTTTTTATGTATCCCAGAAAATTTCAGTTCTGTCGAAAATCCAAAAACACGTATTCTGCATTTTTCCATGTTCTTTCAAACGCAAATGGTTTTATAAAATTCTGAGACATGGTTTTTTTTTTAAACTAAATTTTTACAGGAGTAGTTTACCCCCCTCGCATTTCAACCCTCGGATGAACTATCAGTTATGATTTTCATAATTCCTCACCAGCTATATATGAAATGGATAAAAAACTTCACCACTGTGATGAGTGATATTTCCGAGAAATTATTTTTTTCACCCCAGAAAACTTCAGTTCCGGGGAAAATCCAAAAACAGGTATTCTGCATTTTCCCATGCTCTTCCAAATGCAATTGTTTCTATTAAACTATGAGCCATATTTTTTTTGAAAAACAAAATTTTTACGGGGTAGTTTACCCCCCCCCCC